GGTAAACGAACGAACTAGCTATTACCCAATATTGCTATTGCAATGTTATTGGAATGTTGCTGTCACATTCTCATTAAATATTTCAATTACAGGTGGCAATAATGTCTCAACAATATTACATTGCAACTTGTAATTGGAATGTTGCTGTCACATTCTCATTAAATATTTCAATTACAGGTGGCAATAATGTCTCAACAATATTACATTGCAACTTGCAAGATTGTAACATTGCTGCAATGTAATTGCAATGTTCTGTGCTGTATGGGACACCTTTATATAATCATATATAAATATATATATATTCATATTCATTTATATATAGGTGAATCTATTTATGTATGGACAAATTCGGTATATAATTTTGTATAATTAGATATGTACTATTTTTGTCTAATTATGTATGAGAAATTTTTTACCGGGTCTCCTCCATTATTTATTTAAAAAAGTGACAAATAAGTAGTATTACAAATATACATATGTATATTTGGACTTTATATTTTAACAATATATCTTAATATAGTTTATATAAGAAGTATTATATAAAAGTATTATGTTTAAAAGTGTTATGTAAAGAAATATTAATAATAAAATATTAATAACAAGTTTAAAAATATTCTATTCTAAAATAATTACTCAAGTAGCAAATGATCGTCATCTGATGTTGTTTTATCATTATAATTAGTTATTATATAATATAATAACCAATTATGACGATAAAAAGCATCAGATGATGATCATTTGCTACTTGAGTATAAAATCATCATATTAATAAAACGTTTGTCTTAAGGGCATCTTAAAATAAATCTCACAGACGTTTTATAAGACAAATCAAGAGACATCTCGAAAACGTTTTTAAATCGTCGAAAATTGTTGCATAAGACGTCTCATAGACGTTTTAAATACGTCTTTTTGACAGTTTCGTAAGACGTCTGAGTGATTTTAAGATGTCTTTCAGACGAACATAAGACGACATAATGTTGTGTGGGTTTATTAAAAAATATGAAAATAAAAAATGATTAAATCTCACAGAATTTATGTAGATATTGTAGACGATAAAATTAATATTTGTACAAATATTTAAATTATAGCATAAAGTTTATAAGATATGAGAAAGTTTTAATTGAAAATATCCCAACAAATACAGGTATATAATTATTACATTGTCATAATATAACAGAATATAACACATAACATGTACGTTACATGTACACAGAATAGTTTTAATTTTCCACTCGCCCAATATTACAATTATATCATATAAATATAATGCGGTACTAAAATGTTATATAACTGTTATTTGACTAGTTACCGTATAGTTGTACTTCTTGGTATGCATTAATATATGTCGTGCACGACGATAATTTATAAAAAAACATATGCGTAATGTGAGTCGGCTTGTTAGAGAATTCTTTTCGGTACATTAGTCGATTTGTTACAAAGTCTTTCGGCACGCGCTTTGCTACCATTAATCGAGTCGAATATAAAATTCGGTGTCGCGTAGTGATCGCGCTCAGTAGTCTCGAGTGAGTCTCAGTTGCGCACAGAATAAATCGGACACAGCAAGTTGAATGAATCGGACACAGTGTCAATCGGACACAATAGAAAACGGACACAAGATGGTTGCAATCGGACACATAACAATCGGACACATTGCCAATCGGACACAGTAACAAATGGACACACGATAATGGTAATCGGACACATAACAATCGGACACAATAAGAAACGGACACACTGTGGTTGGAATCGGAGACAGTGACAATCAGACACAATGGTAATCGGGCACAGTGGCAATCAGACACATTGAAAATCGGACACAATAGAAAACGGACACACGATGGTTGCAATTGGACACATGATAATCGGACACAACAGGAAACAGACACACGGTAGTTGCAATCGGACACATGCTCCGTGAGTTTTCTTAACCCTAAAAACGTTACTATAACAACTTTAATCTGTTGGTTTTTGGATTGTTGAACATTGAATTTGTATTAAACCTCGCTTTGTGTAGAAACTCTTAAACCCATGTTGAACCTCGCTTTGTTGGAAATTTCACGCGTAGGCGGCGGAGGACTTCGCCCCGTAGGGGTGAAGTCTCTCCCCCGCGTAAAACAAATAACAAATCCTACTCAGGTTATACCTAACAAGATAAACCTAACAAGGTTAACCAAGGTTCACAAAGTTGTAACGTTTTTAGGGTTAGGAAAACTCACGGAGCATGTGTTCGATTCTAACCACAGTGTGTCCGTTTCTTATTGTGTCCGATTGTTATGTGTCCGATAGCAACCATCGTGTGTCCATTTGTTACTGTGTCCGATTGTTATGTGTCCGATTGCAACCATCTTGTGTCCGTTTTCTATTGTGTCCGATTGACACTGTGTCCGATTCATTCAACTTGCTGTGTTCAATTTATTCTGTGCGCGACTGGAACTTTCCCGTAGTCTCTAAATCGCCAAAGCATTCGGATCTGTTTACAAGCGACTCAATTTTTACGAAGGCTCAGGACATACAGTATAGTCCCAAGGCGTTGCCCAGCGACTCAGGACCGTTTAGGTCCCTAGGCGTTGTCGCATTTCATAAATCGAGATCAATAATTATAAAGTTTGTTTGAGTTAAAAACTGTTGGTGAATAAACGATTAATTTGTGTTGATCTCTAATAAACGTTATCATTACCACGAAAGGATTATTATTATTTGAAAACGCGAAAACGCAATTCGGATATTAAGGTTATCCGTAGTTGAGAACACTTCTATTATGTTACTATCTTGAAATAAATGCAAATCTCACGAATAACAAGTCTGTGAATGAGATCTAAACAAAATAGAATAAAATTTTTCTGTAAATACATACTTTATTTGATTTCTCTTAGAATTAATTCAAGAATTTGATATTCTTGAGAATATTATTTATTATAGGATAGTAATAGTTAAAATTTTAAATGTAAATATACATATTATAAAAAACTATCAAATTTAAAAAGATTTACGATAATAAAGAAATCAAATCGTAATTTTTTTTCAATTAATGTACGTTTATTTATTCAAGCATTCTTATAGAAGATATTAGGTAAAAGATACCCAGACAACACGTATGTTTTAAAGACGTCTTTCTGACAGTTTCATAAAGCCAGTGTCACACTACGTATTGCGGACGCGGATCGGATTGGGATTGCGGATTGCGGATCGGAATTCAGCCAATCAAACTCTTATGCCTCGTCTTGATTGGCTGATATCCGATCCGCGACGAGGCATAAGAGTCTTGATTGGCTGAATTCCGATCCGCGATCCGCAATCCCAATCCGATCCGCGTCCGCAATATGTAGTGTGACACGGGCTTAAGACGTTTTAGCGATTTTAAGACGTCATTAAAACGTCTTTAAGACGTCATAACGTTGTCTGAGTAGCCTAATGTCACTTATAGAGGGTAAGCCCGTGCGAACTCTATCTCTAAAAAAGAATAGTTCCAGTATCTAGCTTAAATTCTGAAAATCTCGTCGGTGCGGACTGTTACTTAAAAATTGACAGTCTTAACACTTACTTGATTTCATCTTTGAGAGTTTAAGCCAGTACGAACTCTGTCTCCAAAAGAGGACAGTCCCAGCACCCACTAGCTTAAATTCTCATAAACTTTGTCAGTGTGGACTCTGCCATTTAAAAATTGATAGTCCCAGTATTCACCGGCGAGATTTCCAAAGAACTCTTTGATTAATTCATAGTACGTCATACTTTACAAGCGAGCTCTAAAATATGTAGTTTAAATTATAAATTTGATAAGTAAGAAAATTGTAGTACGCAGATTAAAAAAAGAAAACAAAAGTTAATTACAAATTTGAATCTCTACTACATTTAAAGTCTATTAATGTAAAACCTTGATCTCCCAGCAAACACAGATATATAACAACTATATTGCAACAATAAAACAGAATGTAACATGTAATGTAACATGTATGTTACATGTAATACAATTGTTAGTTGTAATTTCCCACTCACAGGCTTGTTGCAGTTCTATCACATAAATATAACGCGGTACTAAAATGCCACGTAACTGTTATATAAAATAGATATATCATGCAAATAACATGCAATATAGTTGTTATAAAACTGTTATTAGATTTGTTATTGAATAATTACATTCTTATTAGGTTAGGAATTAAATTAGGTTATTAGCCTGTAAAAAATGCAAATCTCAGAAATAACAGATCCGTGAATTAATTCTAAGCAAAACTAAATAAAATATTTTTGTGAATTAATATTTCATTTAGTTTTCCTCAGAATTAATTCAAAGTTCTGTTATTTCTGAAAGTTGCATTTATTACAGGCTAATAACCAAAAGCTATAATAGAAAAATCAAATCATAATTTGAAAAATATTTTATTTTACAATGTTTTTTTTTATTTTACATCAGTTTTATATTATATAATATGTACATTAAAGAGGATTGCAACATGTAACATTTTTTCACTAATTTAGCTTAAAGCTAACAGTAATTCTAGCATTAAGAAAAACATTTATGCACTTAAGATTATTTATATGTGACAAATAACTTTCGAATATAACATAATTGGAGGCCAATGCGGACTTTATCTCCAAAAAGAGATAGTCCCAGCACTCACTGGCTTAGATTCTAAAAATCTCGTCAGTGCGGACTCTGTCATTTTAAAATTGGCAGTCCCAGCACCCACCGACGTAATTGGAAACCAATGCCCTCATCAAGTTTAAGCCAATGCGAACTGTATCAGGCAATTGATTTGTTATCTTACTTATAAATTTATTAAATAATAATTCTTCAACTATTAATAATCATTTCAATTAAAGAACGTAATGAATAACACTAACCTCTAAAGGACGGGAAGCCGATATATATATTACTATGACATATACCTCAAAGTTTTAAATTGAAAACTTTAGAAATCGTTCGAAAACCATCCCCGTCCTCTAAGGGTTAAGACCAATAAGCATGAAAAAAAATTAAGACCGATGAATAGGTTCAACAATTGACAATAATTTTTAACCAATTAAAATAATTAATTACATTTATAACAAAAAAGATTAAGACCGATAAACAGGTTTTAAACCAATTGACCAATAATAATTTTTAACCATTAAAAAAAATTACATTTATAAACGAATTCGACGATTTAGTTTACCCCGCAGTATACAAAAAAGTTCGATGAGGCCAACATCTCTCGTAGAGCTTTGATAGTCATACTTCTGACTACTCCACACGTGTGTTTACTCCATTTCCTTCTCCTTAGCCTTATCGCTTCTTCCTTTCGCTGCTTGGCAAAGCGAAACCATTCGCTGGCGATATTATCAAATTCAGTCTCTGTAAGACTGAACTGCGATGTTATTTCTCCTGCAAAAATTAAACACAATACATTAATGAAAACATTTAGAAATTTTTATTTATAAGTTTAAGAATATATATTAACATACCTTTTAGAATATTTATCACCTTTAAGTTAGAAATGCGAAAATTATTTCGTAACCCTTTCCAAGAACATTGCATCGCACATTCATTACTGAAGATTTTCTTCAGATTTCGATGTATGCTGTCCTTCGGATTATTTCCGCCGGTTTTTAAGATAAATTGTCTCTGTAACACAACAATGTTTATATACAAATTAAAATTTTAATATTATGAGATTAAACAATTAATAATAAAATTTATAAACTTACAAATTGCACTGCTATCTCCTTCGTACGTAATAATACCTTGTCAAATTCCTGTACAGCATCAATTGTTGTAAAAGGTAAGAATTCTTTCATTATTTCACAATCTTGATGTAGATCCGAAGCTCTTTGTGGATAGGATGTTTTTACAACAACCTCAAGTTTTTTTAAACGTTGTTTGACTTCTTTATGCGAAAGATTTAATACGGCTAGCATTCTTAATATTTGCTGTAGCATTTCTGCAAAATAAAATAATATACATAAATATACATAAAAACGTTCACAAATTTTAACATTATAAACAATCTTAAAAATTTACCTGTTATGTTTGAATTATTATCAGTTTGCAAATCATTAGTATTTTCAAATCCTAAAATATTTTAATAAATCCATTATATATAACAATAAAAATTTATTATGTCAATACTTTATTTATTATTTTTTCAATAACGTACCTTCTATTATTATCGGTGTGTTGAGGTCTATATTACTTGCAACATGTGATTCCATTTCTCGTTCTGAAAATGTATTAACGTATTATTTTTTATAATACAATTATTGCGAATTATATATTATTATATGTTATAATTGTTATATGTTAACCTTGTTGTGCAGTTGCTGCCATAGCATAGTCGCTTGCGTTTGATATGGTTGGGATTGCGTTTGATTGTGATTTATTTAATATAGATGCATTTGATACGAATGCATTGGAAATAGATGCATTCGACATAGATGCATTTGATATAGATGCATTAGAATATTCATATTCTAAACTGAGCGTATCAGGATACAAGGGTGATGCTGATATTGCATTCGAATACAAGCGGCTTTCTGTAAATAAAACAATAAATTTTATTTAACATTTATAATTGTGCAAAAAAATCATTTAAGTATTACACTTTAATATTTATGTAATTGAATTATTAATTCAAATATTGATAAACATTAAATTTTCATATAATACATACTTTTTTTATTTGCACATGGGTCAGATTCTTCCTCACTACTGCAACAATTGAAAGGAATATGTTGCCTTTTCCCTCGTCCTAATCTTTCTTCATCTGTTGTTTCATAATTTGCATCTGATGCATTTTTCCGAGCGGATTCAAGAGATGCTGCAATGAAAAAAAGAAAGTATAGTATTTAGTAAAATCGTGAAAATGTTCAAAAATCTAATTTTGTATTATTTATTATGCAATGTAAGATATAAAAATCTTTAAATACTTACTACAATATTTTATAAAGTTCACGTCATATCGTTTCCACGTATTATTTGGATGAGCACAATTTGCTATTAGCGTTGCACAATTGGCTGTCCGTGGTGGCCACCAACATTCACGAACTATATTATTATGTTGAATGAGCCACAAT